CGCCCCCGGCAGGAAGAACACGCTGGGGGCGGGCGGACTGGAGGCGAACAGCTCTAGCTACAGCTCCGTCACCGGGATCGGCTTGAGACCCTGTGGACAGCACACAAACTCAGTCAATGCTTCGTCATTGTACTCTTGAGAAGTTTTAATAAATAGAATTTGTAAAGTTGTGAAAGAAATGCGAGCAAGGTTCTTAATAAATAAGGTGTGATGTATTAAAGCATCGTTTTGAAGCAATGGCTCTTTACAACAAATAACCTCTCAGAATATCTGTTAAAACCACCGATATTTTTAAACTTGAGATTAGGCACGTTTTTCATGAAAAACTCAAAAGGCTCTCAGAAATTATTGTTATCCACGTGTGCCAAAAATTTCAGCTTTTCCATTTCAAGGGGAGGCGCCATCTTAAATTATAACATCTGAAGTGTCAGCTTTTAGCATGTTAGGCAAGCTAAGGTTGTCGTTGAACTCGTGACAGTTTTTGAAAGTTGCTCCAGTACAGCCGTAGTGTCGGCGCTCGAGTGGCGCTGCTTGAACGACGCTTCTGAAGAAGCACTGTTCGAGTAGCACTGTTCGAGTAGCACTGTTCGAGTGGCGCTGCTCGAATGACGCGTCTGGAGTAAGACTGTTCGAGTGGCGCTGCTCGAATGACGCTTCTGAGTAGACTGTTCGAGTGCGCGCCAATGCGGCGCTGGAGAGTAGGGTCGAATGACGCAGTCTGCGAGTAAGACTGTTCGAGTGGCGCTGCTCGAATGACGGCTTCTGGAGTTAAGCACTGTTCGGAGTGCGCTGCTCGAAATTGACGCGTCTGGAGAATAAGACTGCTGAGAGGCGCTGCTCGACTAGACGCACTGACGTAAAGACTGATCAGAGTGGCCGCTGCTCGAATGACGCGTCTTGAGTAAGACTGTTGAGTGAGGCGCGCTCGAATGACGCGTCTGGAGTAAAGACTGATTCGAGTGGCGCTGTCAGTCGCTCGGTAACTGTCGAGTAGCGACGTCGTATTTCGTGTGAAGGACTGTCGAGTGCCACTGTTCTGAGAGATGCTGTTCGAGCAGCACCCTCGAATGTGCGCACCGGGCGATACAAAAGGGGCGTGGCTCACCTGCGGGTGCGGCGGCTGGCCGGCCGCGCTGAGGTGCTGCGGCGGCGCGGGCTGCTGCGTGGCGGCGCGCACGATGTAGTCGTCGTCGGTGGCGAACGTCTTCTGGTACTCGTGCTCCTTGCGCGAGATGGCGCGGTTGTTCCACTTGTAGTCCTTGAGCGCGTCGCGCACGCGGCGGCGGTAGCGGTAGAGCAGCAGGCCCAGCACGGCGAGCAGCGCCAGCCCAGAGCCGCCCAGCGCGCCGATGATGGCCTGCTGGCGCGTGTCGTGCAGCGCGCACCCCAGCTCGTCGCCCGACAGCGACTTGAGCGGCCGCTCCTGCAACCCACGGCACGCGCGGCCTCAGCACGAGCTCCCGCTCACCCGCACACAACTACATGCATTTGTATGTATGCACCGACATGTTGGTGTAAAAGGGTAAAAACATAAGATAATTTTGAAAATTAATGACCTAATTCTTCTTATTATTATTACTATTATTATTACTATTATTATTATTGTTGTTGTTAACCACTGGGTTTGATTAGATTATGTAAGTAGGTATGTACTTTTCCTTCTTTATGATTACGTTCGGGCATTCATCGAAACATAGAAAAAGTATTACTGTTATTATTATTATTATTATTATTATTATTATTATTATTATTATTATTATTATTATTTTCGAAAATTTAAGTTTTGAGAGAATAGTGTTTACAAGTTTTGTTGGCGATTGTCATGAAACGATCACGGGCTTAATAACCGATGTATTGTACAGTGAATGTTATTACTAAACGGCTTCATGGATTTCTGAAGTATATTTTGATGCAACCACATAATAATTTTCCTCATTATTTTCCCTTCATTATTGTAATTAATCTGAAAGTATGTACTGTGGTGAATATACATATCTGTAAAGTAAAAAGGAACACATAATCAGTATTGTATCCAAACGCGAGGAACGTTTCCGGAAAAGTCAAATGTGAAGTGGATAATGAAGTCACATCGTTGCTATCCCTCTCATTTATTTAATAGATACGTACTAGCATTTTACAGCATATAGCTGTAAAGTGCAGTACAGCATTTTAAATAGTATAAATTAACATTGGGAATTTATTTAATGTACTGAAAAATTAACTATACTCTGTTAAATTACCTCATCTTTGCAGGATTTCCCTAATCCTCTCTCTGCATTTGCCATTACAATTAACAAATGAAATATTAATTAATGAAATTTGTTGGATTTTACAACCGAAATACTATGGATAAAAAATTCATTATCCCATTTAGAACGTCAGGTGAATCCCATTTACAACGATTTTTGCTGTGACGTGGAGGTAAAAATGAACAGTGGAGCAATAAATTCGAATGAAAACCGGGACCAAGATGGAAATTTAATCGTTTACTGAATTAGAGCATTGAAATTACTCTTAAAATCCCTGTAAGTTGTTACTGTTAGCTTGCTGTTTCGCGTGGCTACGTCCTGTGATAGTGGACGAAAAGGGCTCACAGCAGTTCAAAGAGCGGATGCTTTTTAAACACTTCCGGGGCGCGCACTTGGAAAGGCACAGCGCAGGTGATAGTTTTGATATGGTTACTCAACTCCCCTGCTAAGACGCGTGCCGTTCCTGCCACGTTTATCGCCGTTAGATGTCGCTGAAAGGCGACTCGAATGCTTTCTTGCCACCCATCGGATCACATTTTAATTTATACTTTTAAGCAAATTACGCGGAGCTGCGGCGATGTTCTTTTGAGTAGAGTTCTGGTGCTCAAACGACTAAGCGGTTACCGTATCCTGTGAATATAAGCATAGTCTTCACCAGTCAATTAGTCAGCTAAATAACTTGGGACATGTCGTAATGAAAGCCTTTCTGATCTAAAGAAAAGTGTATTACGCCTGTGCGAGCAAGCGCTCTCGGATCACAGACTTTTTGATGACTGGTTTCGAATAACATTCCGGCTGCGTGAGGTCACGAGGTTTCATGGTAACCGGTGGTGTGGGCTCACCGCGTCGGCGCTTAGTTATCATTCAGAAGAAATATTCTCCGCCCTGTATAACACGGGAGGTGAATCCCGATTTGGCATAGTCCGCGCGGTGCACTGCGAGTGGCCCGCGAATAGAAGAGCCTCACCTTGAGGTGCGGCGGCGCGGCGCACAGCACCTGGCTGGAGTTGCGCTGCACGAGCAGGTCCTTGAGCCAGAGCAGGCCGCACTGGCACTCGAGCGGGTTCTCGGCCAGGTCGACGCGCCGCAGCTCGGGCCACGTGGTCATCGACTCCGGGAAGGTGACGAAGGCGTTGTCGCGCAGCACCAGGTGGCGCAAGTTGGGCAGGCCCGCCAGCGCGCCCTCCTCCACCGACGCCAGCCGCTTGTTGGAGCTCAGCACCAGCGTCTCCAGGTTGAGGTTGTCCGCCAGCGACCCCTTGCGCACGCGCTCCAGCTGCGCCGCGCCGCTCACGTCCAGCACGCGCAAGTTGGTCAACCCCTGCGCACCAAACACACCGCTCGCTCAAGGGCTCTCACTCCGCGGACAACAAGCGGAGGCACAACTGCGGGGTCGTGGTAGGGATGCGACATCGACGTCCATGTGTTGCATAATTGTATTTTTTATATACTTATCGGTATATGTAACATCAATTTTTTAAGCAGACGTTTTTTAACATCGATGTTTTACGTTTTGAGTTTAATAATTTTAAAGTGAAAACAAGTACCATTTTAATACAAACTAATAATAATTTTGAGATATTCGTAATTTAGATATTCTCCAACCGAGCAAGAGTGAAAAATAATTAAAACACAGGTGTCGTCGATAAATGCAGTCTCGATATTTTTATGAATTATCGAAACTTTTGTTAATTGTTCTGATATTTTTTTTATTTTGCATTGTCAGTTAAGTCTCTATTAAAAATTACGACCACCGGCAAATTATCTCCTCTTATGTATATTAAATGGTAACTACAAGTTGTGGTTCAAAACGCAGATGTTTGAACACATAAGTATCTTGTTAACACAGATATTTTAATTCTGATCATCCACGTCGTTAACATCCATCCGTTGTCGTTTGAACATCCACCCGATAGCCATGTCGCATCCCTAGCCCATTGTGTTCACGTGGGTGGGAGAGATCGAGAAAGATGGGGAGCGCCAAACAGTAAATGTTTACATGTTGACTCAAAACAAGAAAATCGAATATAAAAAATTAACTAATAGCTCGGGAAAGATGTCTGGCAGTAAGATGAACAGTTGTATGATTACAAAAACAGTTACCTGGAAGGCGTGAGGTTCAAGTGCTGAGAACTCATTCTGGCCGACAGTGAGTTCCTCTAACCGTGACAGTGGCGCCAACTGCTTGGTGGGTACAGTGCGTAATCGGTTGTCCGCCAACTTGAGAGTGCGAAGACCTGCCAGGAAAAATAAGGTTACTAACATTTCTCTTGAAAATCAAGAATCTTTGCATTTCAAATAGACAAGCAGCGAAATTTATGACTGCGTAAGGAAAATTCAAGCTCGTTTTTTAACCAAAGAGTACGATATTACAAAAAAGCATGTAAACATTCCATGGTTTTTGAACGAATCTCAATAACTTTATTAATAACAATTATAGATTCACAGTACTTATTGATACGCTCGTAAAATATAATTGAAACATTTCACATCAATTCATTATTGGTGAATATATGTACTACTTAACACAACAATAATAATTCATATTTTTCTGAATTTTGTTATTTGGTTTCTTTTTTGCTATGGAGATTTTTTTGTTTCTTGATGATTGTGTTTTTTTGCTACTTGTATAAGGAGATTGCTGCTGTTTATTAATGCTTTTATTGTAAGTTAAATTATTGTTATTTAAAATATTCCGTTAAAAAATGAATAATTTTGTTATTCTTAAACTGACCGTGCATAATACTATACTGAACGTCTATAAGCAACAATAAATGTTATTGTTATTGTTATTATAGTATTAATTTCTTTGTTACAATTCTTTTTTTAAAGTATTTTCTTCGTAGTCATTTCATTATCACTTTTTTTTCGTTCCGCCTTTTGTTTCGTTCCCCCTCCCGCAGTGATTTGTTTGTGGGCGCGGCTCACCGTCGAGGCCGCGGAAGGCGTGCTCGCTGATGTTGACGAGGCCGGCGCCGCTCAGGTCGAGCACGGTGAGGCGGCCCAGGCCGCGGAAGGCGTCGTCGGGGAGCGTGGCGAAGGCGTTCAGCCCCACGTGCAGCTCGGCCAGGCAGTCCAGCAGCTTGAAGGCCGGCGTGGGCACCGTGCGCAGCTGGTTGTCGTCCAGTTGCAGCACGCGCAGCTGCGACAGCCCCGCGAACGCCTGCGCAACACACCACACACACTCTGTAAAGCATCTTCTTAAAAACGAAAAACCTCTAAAACGTAGACATGGCTTCAGTTGGAACGGATTAACTTATAACATCAAATTCCACTCACTCACCCACAACCCTGTCACTCGTCCTCTTTCTCACTCTTCTTAATGAAAACTCTCTACAACCAAAGAAAGATTGCCCCTTGAGTTTCGTTTTTAAAAGTTTGCACTGTACTTAAAATATTCAGAAACACCTAGTTTGAGAAAGAAACCCAATTTGAAAAGAAGGAAATTACAATGTATAATGTTTTTAAGTAGATATAAGAATGAAAAAATTCCCAAGTTACCAGATTCAATGAGAAATATTTCAACAACAATTCTCACAAAAATGACCTACATTCAGTAACTTATACATGGTGACTTCAGAGAGATGAAGACAACCAATGCTAGTAAAAAAATCGAAAATAATGACTGAACTTCAAATGTTTTCTCCCTACCTATAAAACATAACTACCAAGTTTCAATGAAATATTTCTAGTAAATGTAGCTATGCCATTCATTATCATTTCTATAGTAATGAAAATAATATGATCTTCTAAGTTTTGGTGGTCAAGTGAAGTGTCATGCTACTAAAAGAAACTAATAAAAAAATTATTATTATTGACTTAAGTCTCGGAAATCATTCGGTTTTCTCAAGTGTGTGAGGCCACTATTAGCAGACTACATACTTGGATACAGGTCGTGATGGATTCAGCACGGTGCGACATGTTTCGAAATTGACAGAGTTTGAATTTTAAGGATTGTTGCATTGGATTGGGCTGTAATTTTTGAATATATTATTATTACTATTATTATTTATCGTTCTTATATGAAATCGAGTGGTACCTCGGGGTGGACGCTGGCGATGCGGTTCTGTCCGAGGTCGAGCTGCTCGAGCTTGGGCAGCGACGTGAACGCTCGCTCCGGCAGCTCCTCCAGGAAGTTCTGGCGCAGGTTGAGCACGGTGAGCGCGTTGAGCCCCTTGAAGGTCTTGTTGCTGACCGCGGAGATCTTGTTGTGCTCCAGGTGCAGCTCCACCAGGTTGCGCTGCGCCTCGAAGCTGCGCGTGGGGATGCTCACCAGGTGGTTGTACGACAGGTCCACGTACTGCAGCAGCCCGTAGAACTGGAAGGCCGCGTGCACCGTCTTGATGCGATTGTGCCTGCCGGGGGAGACGCACACGTGTCACTTGTGGCGGTCGCGATTGCTCGTTGTGGCAATTTACGTAGTCCCCGAGTATCGTTAAGCTTGAACAACTAAAGCGAAATAGAAACTTGAGGGTTTTGGATATTGTTACTTATGGTTTGGATATGCTGCCAAAATATATTTTTTTCGGATACGTTTCTTACAGAAATCAAAAATTAAAACCCTATCGGTCACTGTAAAACAACTGGTACCTTGGAGGCAATTGGTAATGCGTCTTTTTTTTCAGAGTTAGTTTTGTGAATTCTGAAAAGACTTCACAAAAAGATATAATGATGTTGAAAGAACTAAAAAATAAAAGTCTCTATTGATAATCAGAGCTTCACAAAGAATGACGTAAAGTAATACTATGATCTGTGATCTCATCTCCACGGAGAGAGAAGACGGAGAGAGACTCACTTGAGCACGAGGCGCTGGATGGAGGGGTTGAGCGTGATGGGGATGACGTCGAGGTTGGCGTCGATGCACTCGCCCACCAGCGTCTCGTCGTCGCACGTGCAGCCGGCGGGGCAGAAGTCGGGCGAGCGCGCGGCCGACGCCAGCAGCGACCCGGCCAGCGACGCCAACAGCAGCAGCGCCGCCATGGCCGCTCCCTCACGGCCCCTGCCGCTCCCGCTCAGCCACGCGCGCCCCTGCAACACACACAACGCAGACACACCGTCAGGGCAAGGCTACGAATGGCAACTCGGGCAGCAAAACGAACAAATGACGTCCATGAAGCATTCCATTATTTTTTTAATATTAAAATTTGAACTACAATCTTGCTCATAAGAGGAAGTGATAACATTCATGATAGACAACCTCCTATGTGGAAAAAATGAACTTTTATAGGAGGAAGGAAAAACCCTTTTTGGTGTTAATAACGTGCACTTGGCTAAGTTTAGACATTGTACACTTTCAATATAACAGTTTTAAATATTTATTTACTGTAATTTTTTTCTGAAATCACCTTACGATAACCTCCCACGTGACGATTACCACATACGAGATATTCTATCGTATCAATAAATTGTAAGGGTCACGTAGGATGTTTTTTATTTACTATTCTAAAACCACAATTTCTATTTTTTGTTGAAATTTGTTTATTATCCAATTAAAGAACCAGAAAATTCCGAATCATTGATACCACAATGTAATAATCGCCAATTCCGTCACATAGGTGCCCGTCCCGCAACTGTAGGCTCATCAACGACGATATATAGGGCCAACTACCTTTCATATAAAGGCAAATAATATTGAAATTTTGGTGACATGGTTTGGTAATGAAGTTTTGAATTGAAAGCTCCAAACACTTACTAAATCAAAGATCTAAGATTTTAAAAAGTACATAGAGATTTATTGTATCGTTCGTGGGCTGCAATAGTGATAATTCAAAAGATCAGGTGTTGAGATAAATGAGTGTGAAGTTTTACCCCTTATTGAAATGCATCATTCTAACATCCACACTTCTGCCATTTGTTTGGTGGAATATTGTTCAGTAAGATTAGCTGGTGTTGCTGTAGGAAGGTAGATCAATATGCAATTCTTGATAGTGCAAAAACTGAAAATTCGTATTTTTTCAGTTGTGCAACTGTTGCAACCGACGAACGATATGTCCTTACAAGTGTGTATTTTCTTTCTGTGGTTTAAAGCCGAACGGCAGATTGGTTATTATTTAATTACAATTTACTGTACGTCCTTACAATCGAAAATATCCTTTCTGGGGCAATTGAGTATCGATTCTGACGTATTGAGAAATGGGGGAGGGGTAAGCGGCAAGGAAGTGGGAGATAGGCGGCATGCCGCCTATTTTATTGGCTTGAATAAGATAAAAGATGAATATTTTTCTCAAATAACTGCAGGACAGGAAGGCACCAAATGTAAAAAAAGGAAAAGATGCTATTTACTTGCTTACTAATTTATTTAACAGCTACTCAGATACAGATTCCCAACAGACAGAAACTTAAAGACTCATCTTTTGTTGCGCTTCCCTGTGGTACTTCGAAAAACTCGACATCTATAAACAACGAACACGTATGTTTCTCAAAACGGTCCATGTTATTCATTCGCTTATTCGAGCGTAGAAACATCTTTCAAAACCGACAACAAACAAATAGAAAATGTCGAGCGACAGCTTCCACCGACAACAAACTAACACGAAACAACAGTGAAAAACTCTCCTGTCCATCCGCATTTCTTTCTTTCTTTTTTTTCCTCTCTCTCTCCAAACAATATCGTTTCTTTTCCGCGTTCCTCAGGCTCTCAAAACCCCATCTCTGAGTTAACTCTACCCTTGACCTCTTTCGCCTCTCTCTTTTAACCCTCCCTTTTAACGCGCGCGCTTCGCCCGGACGTCGCTCTAATGCGCGCCCTCACTTAGCGCTGGGTCCCGCCGTGTGTTGTTTGCTCCGCGCGCGATCGTCATTTTTGCGAGAGACGCGTGCGCGGGGGCAGGGGGCGATGATACAGGCTGTGGCGTGTGACTGTGTAGGAGGGGTTGATGCACGGAGTGGCGAAGTGTTGCTCGTGTCTGCTCCGAGATCCAATGAAGCATCGTCTCCGGCCCAATTAGCCCATGAAACGGGCTGAATATCTTCCTCTGATTTTATTTTAAGGAGCGTACGTGGTCTTTCGGGCCCATTGAATGGATAATTTGACTAGTGTACGCTTGTCAATGCACTGATTGTACAGTAGATGTAAATGCGCTCGCGTTATTATTACTTTTTCCATCCATTAAGACCAGCTTGTGATAAATTAATTTGAATGCGTTAGATTTACTCTTAGATTTTTTCCTTCCTATCTTCCAATAGACCTTACTGTTTCTCTTCGTGCAACCTTGAATGACTTTTCTTACCTCTCAGACTTTCCGATCTCGTTTCTTGGTGTTCTCACATTTCAGCACTTTCCTCCTAAAATATATTCCCTGTAGTTCCCTCTTCACTAGAATTATTTTTTCTACAACTCGCTTGTCGTTGGATCTCTCTGGTATGACGTTAAGGTGCGCGATGATTTCAGGGAAGTGTTAGAATAATGAAGATGTATGTGGTTGAATAAGTGTCAGAAGACTCGAAAAATCACCGAAGACAGCAGCTGCGTCCATCACAAACAGCAACAAGGATCGTCTGGAATTTGAGTTGCGGTACACGGAAAGTGAAACGCTGGTGCACTGAAAGCTTCTCTGGGGATCGCTCACGTTCTCAGGATTTCTACTGGCGAAAGCCTCGTTCGCGTTCCTGCATTATAAACGAGTCAGAGATCAATGGCCACGGACATTTTACACAGACAAAGCGTTCATTGTTGAGAAATTAGGAGATTTATCCTTATTCTGAGAAATCATCCGAAGTATCAATATTGTTCGAAAAATTATAAAATAATTATTTTTTATGAAAAAAAGTAACTAAAGGAAACATTTTGTTTACGAAGGGATTAAGGAAGAACCTACGATATTATTACTCAACGAGAAAGTGGTAAATACATCAGTACTTTCTCCCACAACCTTAATTTATATCAGCATGCTTTAATAAGTTAAGAAATGTACAATTTTTCCTAGGACATAATGTTTTCGGAAAACCGGAAACAACTACAGAATAGAGTTGTACAAATATATTCGGCAAATCTTTGAGTTTATCAAAAATCGTGCTGTCATTCATACAGTGTAACAAACCCTTTCACAATCAATATCGTTTTCCGAGAACAGAGTTTCGCATACCACAGACACTACAAATTTTCCAGGAAACAAAAGCTTTTTGATGCAAAGGTTGCTTTGGGACTGCCGTACCGCCACGCTGCGCCGAATAAAATATTGAAGGCCGTTTCAACGGATGGACAGCTCAGATGAATTCGCTTGTTCCCTGCCTCCATGGTCCCTTTCCAATGCCGTGTCGCCATTCTATTCACGGGGACGACCTTGGTAATTTTTGACAATGCTGACGCAGAAATGTGGAAAACCAAATTTATAACACCATAAGTAAAAATGGGGGAAAACCAACGAAAAAAACCCGCAGCCAGTGTAAACGGCCAGCCAGTGTTAAATCATATTCCATCTAAAAAACATGGCGACAGAAGAAGGGTAGAATCCCTAAGGTATCGTATCTAATTGTTGCCAAGTAAGTAACATATAATTGTCAGTTACGATACGAGTAGAAAAAGTGTCATTTTATTTTGCGAGTAGGAAAACGCGTGACACGAGGACCAAAGGGTGAGTGGATACACAATTTTTTTGGGACAGCCTTTCAAACATTAATTTCATTTTAATTCAAGCACACAATCACTAAGCTATATTAACTTCAGTAATAGCTAATGGCAATCACACGAAATTATTTTTTGTTGCATTTACATTTTTATCTGTAAAGAGCACGGCCATACGTTTAGCATCAGTGCTAAAAAATGAGCTTTTAGCTCGTTGTGCACACCTTAAAAGTAACAGCTTTTATTAGGGATGTCTAAAAATTAATTTGTAACAACACGAAAATAACAAATAAAGAGTAAGTTGCTAATTGAAATAAATATATATTTCTTCATCACTAAAGGCATGGGTCTGTAGTTGAACTTGTTTTGGTCTTATCTAATGCGATTACATAATCTGATAATACTAATGACGATGATGAGTTCTTGTTTACTTTTCTAGCAATTGAGATGATGTTTGCTGTTCATATCACATTATTTTTCAGGTAGATTATCTTTATGAATAATAGATTTTTTTAAATATTCCATTGTGTCTAAAGTGGTTCCGAAATACAAATAAAATTAATTGTTTATGCCCTATTTTTTTCAACAGATACACAGACACATGAGGGAATAAATATTTTGAAAATTTTCTGTTCTGTCCTTTTCGCGGGAACATAGATGGGCTCGCCTTTGTTTTTGAAGAATAGGTTGACGTGCAGTACGTTGCATTTAATGTAGAATTTTTCTGAACAACAAATACAAAAATAAAACTTTAACGTGTTTTGTAGTAGGCGAGGCAGTAATAAAACCCTGGAGTTTCCACGACGAGATTATGAGTGGCAACGGTTTCGATATTTTTAATTGAACACTGATGGGCGTTGAAAGGCTAAACTAACATTTAGGTTAAGGAAAGGCCCTAATAATATAAGGATTAAATGAAGAAACAGTAACTCCTTGTTTACATCAAAATGGAAGAAAAAAAAATAATGGTGTCGACCCTTCCCCACTTATTATACGACTGTTAATTTGACTCAAGAAATGTTACTGAAATCCAGAATATCTCACGAAATTTTAATGAAATCGTAGTCCTCTTAAGCTGAAGAATATAAGGAAGGTAAATTTTAGTTTAACACCACTCTTACAAGACAACTGACCATAGAGACCGAATGAGTCTAGGTATAATGGCTACGCTAAGGGATGAGCTCTATCTAGGAATAATGTCCAAGTAAGAGAACAAGTGCGTTACAGGTGTGGTCTATTATTTTCAATTGCAGGTTAGTATAGTAGAAACACCGGAACCCTAAATAAGTATTAACCGGTTTAACGACAGCTGTGTCCTGCTTTATGCGAAGGCCTGCAGCACTTTCCGTACGACTGCCACCGCCAAATTGCAGGAGCAACGTGCGAGCAAACGCTCTTGGAGCACGTGGCGGGCACTTCGACCGGCGCGGACGGGAGTTGTTTTGATCGTTTGTGAATCGATTCC